CCCGCCCTCACAAACACACCCTTTCTCCCCTAAAGTAAGTGGATTATAAGTAGCACCCACCGACCGGATAGTGTTTCGTCTTTTGTGGGCCTGAAATAGCAGTCCATAATTTAATATATTACCTTTTCCACACAGTGTAGTAAAGACTGCCTTTATCGCCTTAGATACTTTATTATACTTTTTCTTTCAAGAAGGCCTACGGATTACAGCGTTCGTTAAAGAAACGAGTAAACACGCTCTATAATCCTAAACCCGGATACCGCTGGTTTATTCTTTGCCAATCAAAAGGCGTCTAGACTGGATTGAGCTCCAGTCGTGATCCTCTATGGTGCAATTCGAGGAAAAGACTTGCGGGGGTCCCATTTATATTGGTAACACGTCAGCAAGTTACAAAATCGCAATATTAACGCTACAACATAATAATAAACTACTCCATTCAGGGAAATTATTTTCTTCCTGTTCCAATCAGTGAGTCTATTATAAGCAAATTTACATCACTTTCCCGTCAGGTGTTGAAAAAGTAGGGACTAATCATTTCTTAACCTAACCTATCCGGAGCCCGCGCCAAGAAGACGGAAGTAAACTACGCCTACTAGATCTAGGCTTTACCTTCGACAAAGCAAGAAAAGCCGAGAGAGCTTGGTGCATTGTGTGGGCCCACATAACGTTCTCAGTTCCGTCCTGATAAACCCGGTGCTGTGCGCCTGTGCGACAACTGTTCATGGAAGGCAGGTGTGTAACAATAGAGGTAACGTTAACACGAATGCTGTGTGTCTGTGTGTATGTTATATTAGGCGTGTTTTTTTTAATTCCTTCAAAGACAGCACCTCAGGAGGGTAAGTTTGCTTTTAATACTTTAAATATTCTTCTTAGTGTGTTTGTGTTCCGGTTTGTAAACAGTTCTTAATATGTATGTTTTCATTTATCAATGAAATGGCATGCATTCATGTCGTATACGTTATTGGGCATTTGTAGGCGTCAATATGTCTTTGATTTTGCAGAATAGTCGAATTCAAGAATTATATCTCATGGTGTGAACCCTGAGATTTCGAAGCGTGAACAGGGTGGTAGGTATTAAATCTATTCAGTGGTTAAGGTCATTGGCCCAATCATAATATAAGGCATACACATTTTACAATTATGAGAGAGTTCCGTGAAAACAGCGTAGATTATAAATGACATACATATCAATAGCATTTTAAAAACCTTTGAAGCCTAAACAAAGGACCTGTCGAAAGGGCCCTTAGTTCAAATATACAGGTCTTTTACATTTCAGACGTTTTTGTGTGTGATTAACGTATTGGGTTTGACAAGGCTCTGCGAAAGCACCCCCTTTGCCCCCCC